TGATTGCTTGGGCGGGGAGCACTTTGGGTTGAATTCACGGTTACTTGTGGTTGTCAAATTTATTTGTGTTCATGCAACATGAACACCGGAATACCATCAAGAAGTACGGACCACCTGCAGACTACACTCTTAGAAAAAAGGGTCAGTATAGTCCTCCCTAAAGGGAGAAACGCTCTTGACACATATGTTCCTTCAGAAAGGGAGAAACTTTCGTCCCTTAAGCAGGGAGGAAAAGTTCCTCCGTCGACTGCATCTCATTATGGCGGCCACGAATCGAGCAAATCGAGCTCGGTAAGGCTTAACGAGAACACTAAGTCTATTGCACGAAGCGAGAGGAGCAGGAAATAAAAACGTAACACGAGCTTTCCGCGAACTGTATTTATTTCCGAAGTTTCTTTACCCCTGCAGGTAAAGAAACTTACGTTTCGAAAGCATGCAGTCACTCAGTCTTCTCATCGTCAGCACTGCGATGTTCAACGGAGACAACCGGCACTCAGTTCGCGCACTTTATGTCCTACCTTTGCTATTCCTCGAGCCACAATTCCTTCGTCAACCGTTGCGTCAACCGCACATCACGGAGGAGTGAAAATCATTCGCCCGCAAAACCAAAAGCCGCTCTCAAAAAAAAGCGAATCCGAAGCAACCTCTCGGCTTATCTCAGCACGGTAACACGAAATTATGGCGTAGCCGCGTAGCGTAAAAGGATGTTAAATCGCTTGCCACCAGATGGCAGGGTCAAGCAGAGTAATCGCACGTCGCTAGGCTAGGTGGCGCTAGGTACCGCCCAATTCATGTTTTACAAAAAAATGTTTGTATTTCCTTACGCCACAATTGCGTTTCCTTTTCTTCGGAATCTCTAACACATGTAGACACGTTGCGCACACTACAGACATCAGGTCAACATATATTGAACGCATTGAACGCATACACAGGCATCGCACATACAAACATCAATACAACAGCACACTACCCCGATCACTACTACCGAGCCCTGCGTTTCCGTCTTTTATAGTGGTCGTTTTGAACGAACGGAATTTTTCGGTGACTCCCTAAGCAAAAAAAAAATATTCCGAACATGTTCATTTTTTTCCAGCAATGTCATACATCTGAAGCTATTTTTAATGGCTCAGGGGATGAATCTCTTATTAAAAAGAAGACGCTCGATCATGCCATAATTTTTTGAAAGCCAATAAATCGAGCAGCTCCAATGTGGTTCCAAGCCATGAGTTTGTTTTCCCGCATGGCCCTACGTAGCCAGTATTTATATTGTAGTGTTCGTTTTTCTATTTGTGCTGTTCGCACAAAGCTGCAATTGCCGCCTTCAATTAATCTCTGTAGAGCGGATATCCACTCAGCTGGAAGTGATGCTTCACGGGCACAGAAATCGCTTTTCGATCAACTTGAATGGAGTCAAAGCCGCGATTTCCGACAACTGTTAAGTGTACGGAGCTGCGCCGTTGCGAGCTCGAAAACTTCTAGCGCTCATCCCAGCGCGCCACTTAGAGGGCAGTTTCTACAGGAACCGTAATATATTTAAACAGTAAAATAAAGGATAGCGTTTTTTGTTTTTTTGTCGATTTTGCCTGTCTTTTTTTTATGCTAAACTTCCATTATAAATATACGTACTTTCCGTCATACTTTCGTAGTGTTCCCTTTTCCCCAGAGCGCAATCGCTCTCGGGGACCGACAGTCACATTGGCCACTGTACGATAGGAGCTTACCGTTCAGACCAGCGTTCCAACATGACTATCCACACGTCGATCGACTGCACCTAATCCCTCAAGTGGTTTTAAACTCTTTAATGTAAAGCGGAATGTCATCCTGCGACACCCCGGCCCCTCCGATAACGGCCCGACCAGCGGCATCAATGCCCGACAGTTTACGTCATCTCATCTTGTTGTTACACCACTGATACGCGAACACACGGTCACATCGGCGATAATTCCAGTCTTCTGTTCACAACCCACAACACTGCCATCACGATGTCGCTGACACGAAGAAATACAGAACCACGTTGACGATGTTGCTGACACGCAGAAGAATCACGTTGAACGCCGGTTGGCACTCGGCACGGGACAACGGAACCGAACTCAGCACGGAACAGTTGAAAACGAGCGTGTTGGTTAATAGACACAAAACTTGAAAGTATAAAACAGAGAGGACGAGGACGAAAGATGTCCTGTTCCCGTCCTCGTCCTCTCTGTTTTATACTTTCAAGTTTTGTGTCAGCACGGAAGGCACCCAGGCAGCCGGCAGGAAAACCTGCCTTCCTTGGACGCAGTTCCCGCGATTTCCATAACGTCGAAAACGTCGACACAGTTCCTCGTGGTTTCGCTGCTGTAGTTCCGCGTGTGTCCCGCAAATTGGAGACGGCCGTCTTACCCAGTGTATGTAGCGCTGCTGGCACTGCTCCGGAACTTCGCTGTTTCTAGCGGCTTCGTTAGCTCGTTTGATAAAATTAGTTGTAAAAACGTCAATGCAACCGAAATGTTGTGCACGTTTGGACTAGAAGACGGAATTACAGGCGGCCTTCGCTGCCGCTGAAGCTCAATCAACTGAACATTAATTTATTAAACAACGTGCGCGATGTGCTCGAAAAACGAAACCGAAAGAAGATGGGTCGGGAGGGCGAAAGCTTTCTCCGGTCTGCCTGGAGGAGGAAAACGTCTCGGAGAATAATAAGGACTTTAATTTTCCATTCATCGGTCTGAGTTTGTTTATGTGTGTTTTAGTAAAAAAAAAAAAAAAAAAAAAAAAACTTTACCAAAAAAAAAAAAAAAAAAACCACTTTGCTGAGGATCGAACCGTTGACCACTTGGTCAGTAGCGCGATGTTCTACCCCTGCGCCAACTGAACAAGGAGGAACTCGCCCTCCTCCTTTCATCTGAACTGCCGTTCCTCCCTTCTCTGGGCAACTTGTACGCAACAAGGAGGAACAGTCGCTTTTGCTACCTTTCTCCTCCCTTTTTTCTTAGAGTGTACGTTCAGTGAGTCTTCAAGTTCAAACGGTCGCCTGATCGTTCGAACTGTAGTCTGGTCTTTGAAACGTTTCTGATTGTCGTCTATACTCTTTTAGCCCACACCAGCCCGTGGACCAAATGTTGGCCCGGTACTTCCGATAAGAAGTAAGTGTAGGCCTTAAAAGGCTTAAGATTGAAGGTTGGTAAGCAGGCTCGATGTAAACAGTAGAAACAAGGAGACGTTGATCATTGTTACCAGTGGCCATCACCGACTAGTCATGCCGGATTCACTTGGTCCGATTCTGCTTGCGATTTTCAGTATCGACGTCGGCCATCTCACCTACGAATCACGCTTTTGCAGTTCGAGCGACGTCGCGACTGAAAATTGCGAGCGAAATCTCATCATGCGAATCAGGCTTAGCGTTCATTCTGCGGTGTCCACGCGGAATAAATCGCCGCATGTCACATTATTCACGCGAAGTTTTGCGGTGTAACGAGTCTCGGTAATTTCGCTGAGGCAGCTCAAGTAGTCAGGCTTTGTCGAGGAAGACATAGAATCAACAATTCGAACGCGAAACAGGGTAGGGAGACTCACACTGACGCCGACAACATCGCATTTAAATGCTTTATTTCTGGGCGACGGCGAGCTTCTTGCCCACACTCCATCGCGCATGCGCGGCGCCGGTGGCGTCCGCGAGGGGCGCTCCGGTTTGTTTGTAAACATGAGTAGGTGTATAGAGCCTGTCCTCCATTATCATACATATTTAGCCTCTGGAAAAGTAGATTATGATTGAGGTAATCAAATAATTTTCTAAAGTCCACTTATAGGATGTTTCTTCTTTTTAACTTACACAAATTTGTTTAATGAAAGCCGTGGGAGTCACACTTATGAGGTTCGTGAAGGTGAGTTATACGGACAGAAAAATATAGTGTAGGGGGCTACCGGAAACTATCAGTCGGATAATTAAGTTAAATTTGTTAATAACGAAAGTTTACAAATTTGTTAGCTTTAATTAGTGAAAATGGAAATATGACGACATGTTATAGTCATCAGTGATAGTTGATAAGTCACTCAGTAATTCACAAACAGTATTTCTACCTGCTAAAATTGCAAGGTCGCCTTCTCGCTTAGCTGTACGGTTAAGAAAATAAGTAGCGTGCGAAGGTAGGCAAAAACCTTTACTATCGTCGGTGCACCGTGATTTTGTGAGCACGATGAAGTAAAAACAAATTACATTGATAAAAAAATCTTTTAAGATCAGAGACCTTATTTGGGGCAGACTGTACATTTACGTGGAAACACTTTACAGAGGAACGAGGATCAACTTCAAGGAAACTTCGCAAGTAACGAGGCAGAAAAGACGCACGGTCTGCCATTACAAAAATAAAACAAAAATTGCCTACAACGACGTACGAAGAATCCTTTTAATCACTCGAACTTAAGTAGGTCATCCCCGTCCTTCACAGCCCGTGGTCTTCACCGTTGTTGTTGTTGTTTTTAGATTAGAATGATTTTATTACGATGCCATGCGCACTCATACGGTTTGTCACGGGCTCACTCGTACGCAGTGTGAAGCAGAGCCGTGTTTTTCTCGTCAGGTTTTCAAGAATGTATAGGCCAGATTTTGTTCGGTTCAACGTTCCCTGCGCATGCAGCCATTCTTCTCTCGTGCTTTGCTTCGTAAAGAGAACAATAATGAACTTGGAACGGATCAGAACGTCAGTGATCTTTCGGAAAGGTTGCGAACTCCACAGCGGTGGATAGTTTAACTTGTTTTCCTCGAACCAGCTGTACTCCACACCTAGTCGAAATTTCCAACCACGACGAATATAGCTTTTTTTTTTTTTTTTTTTTTTTTTTTAGCTGAAGGTTTTTGAATTTAGGTATATAAACAGGTGTTAAGTGCCATTACTGCAATTTATCCACTCTTCAAAGTGACTTTGCGACCTCTCGTTTGACTTCTTGTGGACAGATTAACAGCTAGATTGCTTCAACGCAAAGGGCGGATTTCAAGATAACATCGGACCCTTGGTCGGAATATGCTGCAAAACGTAGGATCTTTGCTTACAGGCTTATTGCTAATCGTAAACGCTGCATCAACCGACCCAAGCTCCGACGAGACAAGCGTATGCCAAACCGAGTCAGTACCTGATGGTTTCAAAGACATCCCATCGTCAGAGCAGGACGCCTGGAGTGTAAGTTTTATGGCGAAAATATCGTATTACTTTACAATTATCAGCGATCTCATGAGTTGAGGTCAAATGATTGCATGATTTCTAGAATCTTGTAGAGCGCTATTGATCTGCCAATATCAAGTATAAGGATATGTTTTCTATCTCGCTGAATTACATATGTTATTAAATTACATCTCACTTTTTAAATATGCCAGGCGTTTGGTAGAAAAAGAATTGCGTTGTTTTTTCTTCCTAATTTGTGTATGATGATAAAAAAAAACCTAAATAATTGCGATAAAAAATGCACCTTAATTTTTTTAATTTGATCTTGTTTTTCAGCCTTTTCACAATATATTTTTGGGCAGAATGGCAATTTAGAGATCGAAGCGTCGCAAGCGAGAACGGGGTGTCGACAAGTCTTTCGGCCCTAATACCGGATCTTTAACAGATTATAACGGTGTTTCTAAACATTTTTTTGCACACCCCATTTCACTTGAAGTCCGATCGTAGGCAGCATTACAACCCGATAGAGCCAATCAAGCGGAACCAAAATTGCAAAGTCATGGCACTTTTTTTTCCTTTTTTTTTTTTTTTGGTGTGAGTTTGCTTTATCACTGGCTTGAACAATCACGCACAGAGTACGGCGAGACGAGGGTTCCTTGACGAGAAGACTGCGTAGAGCATAACCGCATAACACATAATCGAGGAAGGAAAAAAAAAAGGGGGGGGGGGTAATACGTGAGACGCTGAGAATACAGGCGAGGTAGAGTGGATTAGTGTCGTGATGTAGGCGAGTTGGTTCACGGTAACGGAAATAAACAGCGCGCAAAAAATACACAGGACGAAAGGAAGGTGTGAACGACACAAGCGCTGAACTCACAACTAAACATTTATTGAAAAAACACCAACGAAATAAACCGCACTATCGCTTCAGCACGTGTCAAGATAGGTAATTTCTTTTTTGTGAAGAAAAACCGATGTTTGGCTGACGCATGCATGTTGCCCCTCTTTTGTTATTGCATACGCTTCCAATAATTCCCTGGTAGTTTTATCTGTGCCCCTCCCGATGATGGTGATGTTATTGACTTGGGGCTGGCATTTACAGGCAGCACATTGCAGAGGCAAGTGACCCCCAGCGGTCGACCGGAGTGTCCAGTCATGCTCACGTGCCCTTTCATTAATGCATCGGCCAGTTTGGCCGATGTACACTCTTCCGCAGCTTAGTGGTATCTTGTAAACCACCCCCACCACACAATCAACATACTTGTTCCTGTGCCTTACGGCACATTGGCTCCTGCCCCTAGCCTTATCCGCAATTCTAGGGCAGAGTTGCGCCAACTTTCGTGGCGCCGAAAAAACAACAGCTAGGAACGTCAAAGCGCCCGGCTACCTTTTTCAAATTGTGCGAGAGTTTGTGCATGTAGCGGAGTACCTGGGGTCTGGTTGCGGGTCTCTCTTTTTTCTGACTTGACCCTCCCTTAATCTTTTTTAGTAACGTCTGCGCCACTGCCAGTATAACTGACTCTGGGAAGCCGGCATCCGTCAGCCGCAGTACCTGCATCTTAAAACTTTCTGACATTGAATGGTAGCACGACTTTTCCAAGGCAGTCTGGAGGCAAGAGGACGCAATGCTCCTTTTTACTAGTTTAGACTGGGCGGAATCATAAGGGAGAAGTCCCTTCTTAGAGCGTGGTTGGTAAAGCCAAAACACGTGACTTTCTTCAAAATCTAGTCTAAGGTCTAAAAATTGGAGGTGTGTCACATCCTGTAGTTCATGGGTAAACCTTAGCCCCCCAGAATGCTGAGCGAACACATCCAACACTGCTCGTTCACCGGCCATATTTTGAGCTTTCGCCGAAGCTTCAGGTAATCCCACCCATCCGCAGAATTGTTCTCGGAAAAGGTATACACTGGGCGCTTCTGCGACCCACCTGGAGGGTCGTCGTATGGTGTTGTCCGAGCCCCTACTCCTGCGTTGACTCTACAGGTTATACTTGACGCGAGTGTGCTTGCGTCCCCTTTTTTGTTTTAATCTACCTTAGTTATTTGTTTGTTTTTTCCCATCGTCTTACACCGAACGAGACTGCGAGGAGAAGAAGGATACTCTGAAGTAAAATTGAAAAATAGCCAAAATTATTGAGCGTTGCCATATCTACCATCTGTTCCTTTCTCTTCCATTTAGGATTATTCTCGTTCTCCGCCCAGTCCACGGTGTGGCCCAGTCTCGGGTGGTTTAAAGGGGTGCTGGATCGAAACTAAAAATATACGCAGAAAGTTCGGACATAAGCCGAATGGGATCAATAATACGTGTAAATAATAATGGCACGCTCGTACTGTGAGCCATATGGCTATATTTCTCGCTTTTAATTACGAGTTTTGGCGAGCGCCTTAAAAGGCCCTCCAAAAATATTTAAGTGTCTACCTTTTTTTGCGGTTTCCACATCTCCTGAGGTTCGGGCAAGCCAGCGGGCACGGAGAGAGTAACTAAATATCAGGGGCTCTGAACTCGTCAAACACAAAGTTGGGGGCGACGTTCACGAAGCGCGCCGATTGGAGGATCACGACGATGACTTCGCGCTTTTTCGCCAGCGTCCAATCGGCGCGGTCCATGAACTTTGCTCTCCAACTTTGTGTTTGACGAGCTTAGGGCCCCAGTGCGTCATATTTTAACCGGATGACGGCTTAGACCGGATGACGGATGACCGGCTTGACAGGGCGTAGCAGTCAGCTTCGTCGTCGGCGTAACCACGCGCGTTGCATGATGGGACGTTTCCCCGCTAAAGTTAGCGGGGATATTTTATTACCAAGTTTAGCGGAAAAATTATTTCGATAAATATAGCCGGAGCTTTTCCCGCTAAATTTAGTGCAAAACTTTTATCGCTAAGTTTAGTGGGAAATTTTCCCAGATTAATTTTGTGGGGAAATTCACGTCACGTGACCTTAACACCAATTCACTTTCCCTGCTAAATTTAGAGGAGAAAATGACGTCAGGAATTCGTGTCACGTCACCCATGAACAAAATCAGCGGCAGGAGAAAAGGAGGAGGAGGAAAGAGGAGGAGGAGGAGGGGCGCACCTTCCCCTCCGTAACCCTCCCCTCCTCCCCCTCAAGACCTGAGTTCTCGTTTCGCATTGCAGATTTGTAAACGTCTTTTATTTATTTTTTAACCTGATGTTCAGAAATCTAACCAAGGGGATTGAAAGTTAAGAGATGTTTGGTACTATCGAACTTACTACATTAAATATTTTGAAGACTTTTATATCTTTAAAGTTTAATTGCGCGAAAAAATATTTGATTGATTGGGAAGCTTCAAATCTGTTGCGCGAATAAATTCACCAATTTTGAAGCTTTTCGACCTTCATCAGTCCTGAAATCCAAAATTTTCGAACTCGAACTCTCAGGAACCTCTAAATTTTCGACCTTTCGATTTAGAACCTAAGTAGGTTTCGTAAATTCCGAAACTTTGGATTTGAACTGTAAGAAAGGCTCGACGTTTTTTAAACCTTTCGAAATCTGACCGTCGGAGGTTTGCGACATTTCTAGTTAGTACCATGAGTAATTTTTGATAGCGGTTGGTTCTGCGAAGACTTTAAAAATGTCCTCGAACCGTATACTTTGTTTCAGCTTAAGTCGAGGGGCAACCGATGCTACAAGTGCGATCATCTCGCCCTAAACAGTGCTATCATTGTACGAGCGCACGTGCTTGGCCGGGACCCCAAAAGCCCGGTGCTCGCGCTTGTACCAATAGGTTGCGCCTGGACTTAAGCTGAAGCTAAGTATAAAAAGTATTCACTGGACGCCATATTTGAGGGCGATGTTTAGAGCGCATACTCACAATGAGCTCACACTAATAGGCCGCTAAGACCAGCAACCTTGATGGTGCTGAATGCACGTTGCAAAAGAACTGTGGAAACTGGCCGTCAGCACGCGTCCAGCAGTCGCGCACACAGCTATGGCCGCCAGTGAATGCTCCCTATAGGGTGTTTGAGAAAACAAAAAAAAGTATTTTTGGAAACAAACTTCCACCAAACGCAGACCGCAGAGATTGCAATAAGACGTATTATCAAGCAAAATATGAACATAAGACAAACTGATTGACTTTTTTAATTAAGGAAAATACACATATGATTCCAATTAAAACTGTTCTGAGCGAAATAAAAACACCTGGATAGCTCAATTTTAGGACGTCTTGAAGCACACAGGAAGTGCGAGGGCGAGCTAAAAGTTACCACATGTGCAGCACGCGCAAAGCCGGCGATGCGAAACACGAATAATATTCTTGTGATCCGTTTCATTCATTCGCGTTAACGCATGAAACTACGGTGGCTAACCACTTGTTACCAAAAAAAAAAAAAGATTTTTTTTTTACCTTAGTGTTGCGTACGTTTGGAAATCTTTGCAGAAACGTATGAGGGCGGACCGGCAACTCCAGCAAAACGTCAGTAGTGGGAAGCACATGTGACGTTGTTCGTAGATATTGACGCTTCTTAAGCAACAATTGCTGGGAGACATATACGTACATCTAAAGTTTTTTTCTCTGTCTGCATAGTTTGTCGCTGCACCCGGAAACTTCATGTACGTGCTGTACAGAAATTATCACAGTGACCGTCAAAACAAGGGAACAAATAAGTGTGTCATGGTACAGAAAGTTCCCTATAGCAATACAGGGGAGACAAAATATGCTAACTTCACAAAGTGGTACAATGAAACAACATGTCTATCGTAAGTAAACGTAGATTTCATTCCTAGTAAACCAAATGCTGTGAATTAAAAACAAATATGAAGCTTATTAGCGCACAACCAACAAATTGTTGTTTGCAGGTACGCAACGGAATCGTTCTACAGAGTCGTAAAGTTGGAAGGAAGTAAAGGTACAACAAATAACGTGTTGGCTGCACGGCATAAAGTCGGTAAGCATCACACACCATTTACGAGAATACTGACCGCTCTCTTAGAAGGCAAGATTGAAAAGTAAACAAAAACAGGTGTGCTTAATGCATTCCAAAAATTGCTGCGCCTGTGCTTGGCAGGTCAACGCGAATGATAGCATTTAGAGGCAGGTCAACGCGAATGACGTGATCGCGAAAAGCAATTGCACTCCAACACACAATCTGCTTGAACAGAATGATCCTGGTGTTTCAAATGTTGATTGCAGCTGTGAAAATCCCATTTTTTTATGACCTAATCGTTGTTTGCGCGCACGGTCATTTGCTAGAAAAGCCCCAAATAAGCAAGTTTGACCAAACAAAAAATGAATACAATGATATCTTTCAAGTTATGAAATGACTTAAGAAACATTGATCGCTTGTTGGCTACAACTTTGTTCGATCGCCTCACTGAAGGCGATTTTTGCCGTCCACGACAAAGAGCATTTTTGCGCCCCACAAGAGCACAGCCAAGCGGATTCGCGACAAAGGGAATCAGGACGGGGCTTGAGCGCGCTTGTGCGGAGCAGATAGGATTTTTGACCTAGACGACGAAGATCGCGTTCGGTGCGAGAGCCTTTACTTATCTCTGCTCGTATCTGCTGGGGAAGAAAAGATGGCCTTGGTGCGATTGACTCAGGGGGTTCATGAGGCGTGGAACCAAGCGCGAGGGGATTAAGTGGTAACACATCCATCGAGCCAGTACACGGTGGATATACCAGCTCGTTGGATGTGTTGAAATGTGTATGGATGTAGCTGCTCGACGGATGTAGTTGCTCTTTGTCTGTAGTTGCTCGATGGACGTAGTTGCTCAATAAATGTAATCGCTCATCCTGTTTCGATGCCTAGCTCGCCATTACATCCATCGTGCTAGCGCATCCACAGAAGCCAAGATGGCTGCCATTCGGCTTTTTGCATTATTTACATTCTTATGCGAACAACAAGTTCGTCTGTTTCTTGTGCAGGGGTTCCGGTGACGTCAGAACGCCGAGCTCCGACTAATTCTGAATGAACCACAGTGGGTAGACCTCAAGGCAGCTTGCTTTGAAGTCTACCCACTGTCCTTCATTTGAAACCAATCAAAGCTCGGCGTGTTTCTGACGTCGCCGCAACCCCTGCGCAACAAGCAGACGAACTGCTATCCGCATTGGTTAGGGAGTCACAGGGAACAAGCGGTAAGCCCCAGAACGTTAGTATACCGTAAATAGATTCTAAAGGACAATCAGACTATTTTTTCTCGAAGCAAAATAAAAGGTGTGATTTTGTTTACCGTCGTAATTTTAAAATAAACTATATATTCAGTTAATTTCGAGGATGAAAAACCATAACTAAAGTTTGATCACTGTGGAAACAACAAACAAAGAGCCGACGTAGCGTGTCCCCCTTCGGAGACGCCGAGGGCCGCAGAAAGTCCATAACGCACAAAGGGTCCTTTTACTCGCTTTTGTATATTCAATTTAGCGCTTAACTCTTTCAAATAGCGTGAAATGTTATACAGCATAGTTAAAGGAAGAAAAAAACTTGAATGATTGATGAATGTAATGGCACGTTTTTGGGACGAAGCTGCTCGACGGATGTGATGGCGCTATGGATGTGGTGACACGATGGATTTAACGGCACGATGGATGTAATGACACGCTTTTGGACGAAGTTGCTCAATGGGTGTGATGGCCCGGTGAATGTAATGTCGTGATGGATGTAACGGCATGATGGATACAATGACACGATGGATGTGCTGGCAATATGGATGTACGGGCACGATGAATCTAATGCAGACTTGGACGTAGAGTTCAACTACTCTGCTCAAACTACTGTAGCTTAACTACTTTTCCGAGTAACATGGTAACTTTCAATTACAACTTTATTTGGGTAATGAGTAATTTACTTTAACTACGTTTTTCAGGTAACTTCTACTCAAATTACTAACTACTTTCAAAATCTAGGGCTAACATTGCTCATCAAGAAAGATTGAGCGCAGAAATGGATAAGACGCCGGCAGATGAAGTGGCATTCCCGTACAAAGTGCCCCATCATTATACACGGCAGCCGTAGAAACTGCATCTTAGGCGTCCTTGGGCCGAGGTAGCGACGAGCAGCCAAAACATAACACCGGCGCGCACGAACGCAGGAAGAGACGCTTAAAGGGCAACTCCGCTTCATTTTTGATATTTAGAAAACTATGTAGCCCTCTTCAGTATCGTGTAGGAAGACGCCATGTCAAATATTACGATCTAATTCCGTTTATATATTTAATAAACTGGCCAGCAAACGTTCAAACGAGCCAAGTTGCGGAAATCTGCCAACTTGAGCGTGCGGCGTGAGGCGCAATCGTCAGCGCAGTCAATGCGACGGAGTTTGAGCGGCAAAAGTTGATCCACTACGTCAGAGGCCCGACTACGTCATTCTCACGTTTTGTTTGTTTTTACTTCTCAGAGCGAAATTGAACGATGACGTCATGAGTTTCTCCTCCCGGTGTTGGCTGACCGGGCGTTCACGTGATCACCTTAACGCGGAATAACGCGGATGCGCTAGTTTGCGCTGTCCTGGCGTTTATCGGTCTGTTTCTCCGCTCCCCTTCCCCCGGGCCATCACCATCCACGTCATGCGAAGCGACCTGCCCGCGTCGCGTGTCCTGTCCCTCGCTCCCTCCCGAACGTCACAAGACCACGTGGTTCGACGTGACTTGGCCATGACTCTGACGACCCGAGACCAATGGTGCCTGACGCAACCGAAGTTTTGGTTTCGGTATCAGATGATGTTTAAATTATGATTACAAAAATAATATTCCACATTCCGCGAATCCGAAGACGTAGAGTTGTTTAGTAGTGGGGGGCTTTGTGAATTTGAATAACATGTAAGCCTAAATTTCTCGGAATTGAGCCGAGTCGCCCTTTAACAAGCCTTGGACGGGTATTGACCTAAGCCGGTAATGCACGCAGGCGCCGCGCCTCCAGCTGCAACCGTGGAAGGCGGGGACACTCCGAGGATTGTTGTTGTTTTCATGTTGTTTGCCTTTAGTTAGTTCCGGCTCAAGCGGTAGGTTCCACGGGAGGCGTCAGTGGAATGACCTCACAGCTGGGCACGTGTTCCCATGCTTGCTTCGTCGTCAGCGCATACTCCCTTGCCAAAGCCGGACTCCCCCGCGTACAAACGCACGCACGGATAATCCGTTCATGGGAGCAAATTCCCGCGTCCAGCTGAAACTGTACGATTGCCGATACCGGTTCACGTAATTCTTCGTGAACCTTTCGACCTTCCACGCCAGGGAGACGTCCTCTCTGTTAAAAACGTTTTAATTTTCAGGCGTGTCAGGCGCGTCAGGATACCGTAGTCGCCGGCGGGGATTGCGAGTCACCCTTGGGAGCTCCTTTTGTTGGACCCGGTGTCAGCCGCGAAGTATACTTCGTTTCATCTTCTGTTAAACAAGACATTTTTTTTAGTAGCTCAGCACTAGCACTGCAACGAGACGCGCAGTCGTCTGGATGATCTCATCGTCCTGGAGCGAGACTTGAACCCTTGACGGTCAGGTGCACTCGCTCCGCGTACTCTCCGAACATCGTGGGAGTAAAATGGGACCAGTCACAACATTCTCAGCTTGCCGAAAAAAAAAATAAACAAAGCAGAAGAGTGTTATAAACCACTCTCTAGCCGAGGCAAACCTCACACATGTTTCGTCATGGACACCTAAGATGCCGATACTCGCTTACCCGACCATGCACATCCTGTTTCTCAAATTCAACGCTGTCGTTCCATCCAGCGCGTCGGTGGAACGTCTTTCTAGTTTGGCTGGGGACGTCTTTAGGAGAAAAAGGAGAAAACTCTCCGATAAGAACGTTGAAAGTGAATTGCTTCTGCGAGTAAATAAACTAGTTTGGTGAAAACGCAAGCCTTAAAACGACTGCATTTATTTTAGGCTCGCAGGGTTTTTCACGGGTCGAAACTGCTGTTCATTTTGCTACCACAAAAATAGAAAAAAGTAACTTCGAAAGTAACTTCGAAGTAACTCGCTACTTCTTTACAGCAGTTAGTAGTTTACTCAACTACTATTACAAATGCGTAATTTCTACTCTACTCTAATTACTTTTGGCGGCGATACTCAGTAACTTAACTGCCTTTTTTGAGTAATTTGTACATGTCTGATGTAATGGCACGAATTTGAACGTAATTGCTCGATGGATGTAATCGCGCAATGGATGTGATGGCCCCCAGCCGCGCGAGGGTGCTGGGTTATGTGCACAGATATCCAAACATAAGACCATTCCGCTAAATGCTCTCAGGACGGTGTATAGTTTGCTCGAAGGCAGCGCCGTCTTGATTCACCCGGGCACTTTAACAGATTCGACAAGGTAAAAGAGGCACGCACCCGATCCCGATAGGAAACGATAACCTGACAGTTTTTAACGATTGGAAAATACTGTCCTAAAAAAAAAAACAAAAAAAACAACGTTAGTGCAATACTGTAAATTTACTGTGCTGAACATGTAACGCTCGTTTGCATCTGCCGCTGAGAAGCGGTTTACGTTTTTAAAGACATTAATGGCTGTTCTAGGATCATTTCATCATGCTCTATTATTTAATTTCAGTAAATGTTCAGCTAGAGTAACATCGGTCGGTTACTTCCATGACAGTGGCATCAGCCGATACTACCTTCAACAGTCGCAACTATTGCGAAAATCTTTGTTCGTTTTTAGTGAAACGCCACTCCAACTTACAATTTTTATTTTTGAAATCGGGAGTCAAAAACAAGTCACAGAACGGTTTTCCTTACGTGCGCTCACTTATATATGATATATGGTTTATTTAGAAATCACCGTCAAGTCGAAGTTAGCTGCTTCACTTTCTTGTTTTTATGAATGACAACAAACTACTTTCGCACAAAATACGGTGCTTTCACAGGGGCGTGGTTAGGTTATTGGCAGCGCATTGAAGTGAATTGCGTGACCATGAGTGAGTCCCTTCTCATGCACTACGTACTCTTCAACATA